GAACATTAGAAAATACGATATATATATATGTGTGTGTGTGTGTAATTGATTTCCAGGTGAAAATCAGTCTTTAATTATCATTATATCAGTTTTAGGCAAGTTAACAATTTAAAGGCAAAAAGAAAATAAAAAAAAACTCAATGATAAAAGACATATAAGCACTTAAACCTGTCCATTAATGTTTTATGGACAAACAACCATCTCTGCTACAAGATGTACAATACTTTAAGCCAATCAAACTTTAATACATGTATGCAAAAACGTCCTTTAAACCGTTAAATTAATCTGGATGCTACAAGTTTTTCAAGTTCTGCTGTATAGGTGAGGTCAGCAACACATACATTAAATTAAATTACTAATATGTTTATTGTGTCTGTTGAAAGTTCACTTTTCTGACCTTCTGCCTGACAAAGTGATTAATTATAATGTCAAAGTTCATAGAGTAAGTAAAGCAGCTTTCAACTGCTTGTGGAGCGCAGATAATTTGTAACCAACATCAACTTACTAAATGATCCTTCCTCTTCTGCAAGGTGACTGGGATTGAGCAGAAAATGTTTAAGGCTACACAGCAATATGAGAAGAATGTTTGACTAAGATTACATTTATTGCATTTAAAAAATGTTAAATATTCAGTTTTAATTGACCACTTTTTTTTTTCCTCCTCCCTCTCCAGGGCCACGGGGAAACTTTCTCGACCTTCACGCCCTCTAGGTGGGCTTGATGAAATGTTATAGTATACATGCAACCTCGAGTGTGTTTATTGATTATAGAATGTTGTAGAAATTTATGGAAGATGTGGTTTTTTTTTATATAGACTACTGTTAAGAATGAAGTGAGCTTCTGCGGAATTTAGAACATCATAATTTAAAAAATTGTAACTAACTAACTAAATGTCCTGGAGCGCTGTATAACAATTTTGAAATTTATAAAAATCTTCGATTGAATTAAAGCGATTTTATAATGAATCCCGGTAATTGTATCGTGTTAGAATAGGCAGACAAAAGGGTTCCTGGTTCTCTGTGGATATTTTTATCTATCATAGAGAAACTCGTTCATCACAGATCTTTTGGTTTGAAAACAAGGATATCTAAGTATTACTTTTTTCTTTATTTTTTTTCTTCCAAACTACACGTTTGGATAACTAGCGAGTGAAAGATGTAATAGCTTTGAATTTCCGTTTCATTCAGGTCTTTTCCACTCCGGACTTACAACGCCAGAATCCGGGTTTCGATACCCGTGGTGGGCAGAGCACATTTAGCCCATTGTGTAGCTTTGTGCTTAACTTCAAAAAACAAACAAAAAAAACAACAACTTTTCCACTCAATCAAGAGATAAAAGGATATCCTTAAACAATAACATAGAAGCATTCGACGCGTCAGCTCAATCCGAAAAACGACTCATTGATTAAATACCAACTTAAAAAAACAAACATTATGTATATATTTAAATAAAAATGGATATATCACTATGTTACAAAATGTGGTGTCACTGTTCGACACACATACATAGAAAAACCTCTATGGTTAAACTAAGAAGAAAAAGGCCAGTATATGAGCCAAAAGTAGCTATAACAAATAACAGGAAATGTTAATATATACTAATAAAAAGCTTCAAATGACACCACTATTGCAGCAAACTTCCTTTATTGTAATTGAAGTAGTATAATGATAAGTAAAGTTGTTTTTTTAATATTTTCTTTCAATTGCTATTGGACCATTTGACTTTCCAATGGAAAATTACTATATATAAATCTCATGATGATAAAAATCGTGTTAATTTGTATTATGTTATATTTCATACAGTTTAAAATATTTGAAATGCTAGAATAAAAACTGGCAAATATACTCTTCACTTTACGCAAAGCTACACGAGGGCTATCTAAGTCGTCCCTAATTTAGCAGTGTAAGACTAGAGGGAAGGCAGCTAGTCATCACCACCCACCGCCAACTCTTGGGCTACTCTTTTACCAACAAATAGTGGGATTGACCGTCACATTATAACACCCCCACGGCTGAAAGGGCGAGTATGTTTTGTGGGACGGGGATTCGAACCCTTTATAAGATTAAAGGATTAATAAAGGAAATTTATATACTACATTTTACTCCACTGCTCTACATTTCGAGAGCGCTTGTGTTATAGAACTTTCTGGATTCTGGTTTATTTCTATATAAATTTTACTGCGAATTACATACATCCATACGTGAAATTGATTTAACTACATTTTGTTTGGTTTCAATTTCGAGCAAAGCTACTCTTCCCTAGTCTAGCAGTAATAGATTAGAGTGAATGCAACAAATCAACACCACCCACCGCCTACTCTGGAGCTACTCTTTTACCAATGGCTGAAAGAGCGAACATGTTCGGTGAAGCGGATTCGAACCCGCGACCCTCAGGTTGCGAGTGTAGCTCCCTAACCACCAGGCCATGCTAGGCCCAGCGTTTTTTTTCTCTTAAGTTTTGAAATATTGGTTAAAAAGTGTATAACAAATGTTCATGTTTGACGCCATAAGGCCTGACTTATCAATAAAAATTTTAAATTACCACTCTATCACAAATAGTAAATACAGAATTTTTATGTTTGCATAAAAATCTAACTCAAGATTAATATGTAGATTTTGCGAGGGTTAAAGAAAATGTATTAAGTGTGTATGTATTTTAAATATTATGAACACAGCATTAAGCCTAATACAAACATTGCTTGTGATGACAGGGTATAAAAGTAAGCCTAACACAAACATAGCTCGTGATGACAGGGTATAAAAGTAAGCCTAATACAAACATTGCTTGTGATGACAGGGTATAAAAGTAAGCCTAACACAAACATAGCTTCTGATGATAGGATATAAAATTAAGCCTAATACAAACATTGCTTGTGACGACAAGGTATAAACATTAAGCCTAATACAAACATCGCATGTGAGGATAGTGTATAAAAGACTTTATATTTGATCGAAAAGCAAGTGCATTTGATACCGTTTTACCTGATATATGTCATTAGACAGTGTGAAGTAATTTATTTATATTCTCTAAACTTGTTGAAATATTATTTTTGTTTTTCGCAGATTCCCGCAGAATGTGAACCTGAAGAAATCTTCCAGGAAGTTTGTAAATATATAGGCGCTCACCAGTCTTGCTAATGACACATGATAGACCTGTTACAATGAGACACTATAAACGTGACCTATTGTAGACGTGTTATTCTGTTTGTTTTTTAATTTTGTTCTGCACAAGTATATGTGAAAATCATAATTTTTCTCGTGTGGCGTGGAAAAAACCCTCTTGCAGTTAATAAACTGAGAGGTAACAACATTTTTAAATGTTTTAGCAGAAACTAATTAAATTTTGAGTTTCGTGATAATAAACAATACACGACGTGATGTGCAAAATAAAGCACCCCCCCCCCTAGTAGCACAGCGGTATGTCTGCGGACTTACAGCACTAGAATCCGGGTTTCGATACCCGTGGTGGGCAGAGCACAGATAGCCCATTGTGTAACTTTGTGCCTAATTACAAACAAACAGAATAAAGCACCTTAGATTTATTTAGCCTGGATTAGACAATGATCTTTAAACTGTAAAAGCAGCTTTAGTGTTTTTTCACGTTGAAACTGAGTAGTGAATTCCGTATTTCCTACAATGGGATTACCTAAATGAAAATATTAATTAATCTTAAGCAAAACAAAACCTTTCATAAAATGAAATTAACCAATGTTTGTTCGTTTCTTGCGGATTAAAAAAAAACAACAACAACACGTGTCTATAATCTGTAAAATAACTTTGTTCGGATTATAAGTATTAATACTTTGACGATTTCTCCATTCCTGCTCAACCCTTCACTTAGTATTAAATTTAAAAAAATATACCTTCTGATTACTTAAATCATCAACTGTAGGTGTTCATAGACATTTATGACAGGTCAGAGATTGTCACAAAATTAACCAAAAAGCAATATAAATTTTCTAATTGTAATAACTTCATTTCAAACGACTGTTAGCAAAAACATCCAGTGAGGGTTAAACCCTTATAACTGTGACCTCGTTAGGCCCAAGTAAGACTTGAAGACTACATCTCGCACCTTGTCATTAACGTATTACTATACACTATAAAAAATCTTTAAAATTCCATTGTTGAATTATAAATGTTGTCAGACATACAGGTCTGCAGTCAAGTTGATCTCTTAAGAATACGAATTAAAAGCAATATAGAAAGATATTATATAACATAAGTTGTTCTTTTTCACAAGTATAGATGATGTGTTACTATTGTTTTAATTTTACATTTGTTATTTTGGGTTTGTATTTTATGGATTGTTAAAAATAAAATAAGTTGTATTATCCTGAGTATTTATTTCATTACTTTGTTTCGTTTTTAAGAATAATAGTAAAAGTTATAATACATGTTTGTAAAACACAATCCGTGCATTTAATTTTACACGTTCTACTCTAAACTAAAAATGAAATTTTATCATGTTGATCGCTAATAAAACACATATGAATAAATTTTGTAAACTTAAGAAAATAATTATACGTAAAGAACAACAACATATTTTTTTGTCGGTATCCTTAGTTCGTTTTAATCTAAGTAAATATCAGTGAAATAGACCCCAACGGCTCAGATGTAATTTTGCAGGTTTACGATGCTAAAAATCGGGTTTCAATACCCATGATGCGCATAGCACAGACAGCCCATTGTGTAGCTTTGCCGTTTGCGCCAACAATCAACCATATCAATAAAATAACTATAAGTGCAGAGACATCTAGTGACATCATTTATAACGAACACGCTCTTTTGTCACCTGGTATGTATTTTGATTTAAATACGAGTCACTAATAACATGTAATATGTATATCTATATAAATATAATAGTACTGCCTGTTGTACTTCCATGTAACTACTTCGCAACGTGTGGACGGATGGATCTTCACCAAAAGTTGTATAGAGGTTCATGTGGGTATACTTACAAATTTTCAGTTTTTCGCGTGTTTTTTTTTACCACTATTTCGCCCCCTGTTAATGAATCTTCACCAAATTTGGCATGAAGATTTGTTGGGTCAATGTGAAGATACATGCAAATTTGCTGTTTTGTATTTTGCAGTTTTTATGGGCGTTTTTTACAATTATATATAAAAGGAAGCAACTTTTAATGTCCTAAGATAACCTTCCATTAATCATGAATTTACATAACTTCCGTCCATGAAGACGGATACTCCAGCTACTCTTATTTATTGTCAAAAAGAGTAGACAAGACACAATTTTTATTCGAAGAATTTTTCAAACATTGTATCAATTGTTGCCATAAATATCGCCAGTAAAACAAGCAAAAGTCTAATGAAAAAAATAAAGCCACGAGAATTTTTGCTTTTACAAGTTAACACTCTTTTAAAGACAATATTTAAGCAGAACAAAATAAAGTGTAACGAACCAGTGTTCTGTTAAGTATAACTGAAGTTAACTAATCTCAATAAAGCATACACAATTAATTACCTGAATGAAGAGTTACCAGAAAGATGGCACAACTATATTAGTTGTTACCAAAGAAAACAATTGAAACCAATTTAATTATTGTTTATTTCAGAGCAAGACGTTAGAAATTAAAGTACGTTCTAAATGAAACTACGTCTATCCCTGTACATGATGCATACCAGCTTATTGAATGTCTGCTATTCAAATGTTATAAATAAAGGAAATAAAACGTGTACTTACACAAAAAGCTACTCCACGCTAAAACTAGTATAAAACAAAATACGGGGAGGGAAGACAACGTCATATCACAAAAATCAAAACATCACAATTTATTATCCTAACATGATAAAGTTTAAGGAAAGGAACTCTGCATAATTAAGATACGAAACGCAAATGTGCATCTATATAAGTTATTGAATTATTATTTTGATGAAAAAAAAATTCAAATCGTATCACTTTACTACAGTTTTTGACTTTCTTACTCTTTACAATTCGTTAGTGTGCATGACCTATTTTCTGATTCGCTTACGACTGTTCAATTTGTTTTTAATTTATGGGAGTATTAATTAGGTTACCTGGATTTTTTTGTTCTAAATTGTCAAGAAATGTTAATGTTTTCTTTTAATAAATCTTTATATCTTTATAAGTCTTGATTATTTGTCAAAATGATGATTTTCGATTTTTACGCAATACTTATGTGATAACGTTAGTATTCTAAGAATGGATGTAAATTAAAACTCTAAAATAGGGTTTTTATCGTTTTAAACTAAAACTTTAAAATAGGGATGATACTAAGGAATCCAGGAAAGGGAAAATTATGTGTTCAGGTTATGACAATGTCCAAAGCATTCCATGATTAAGTGTCATGGTTAGTATCTGTACAATCGCTAAATACTAATTATGAATTATTTACTATTTTTATTAATAGATACTAATAATTAATTAGTTTCATGTTTACTAGCCTACACAATCACCCAAGTCTAGTTACTAATTAGTTATTTTTTCTAATTATTAATTACTAAGTAGTTTCATATTTATCAGCCAACACGATCACCTAAGCCTAATTATCAATTATTTTGTATCACTATATAATAATTAAAATTATTAACTAGTTAATTATTATAATTATGTGGTCGTATGGGCTTCTTACCAAACAAAAAGTGATAACCGATCGCTACAACCTTATCGAGTATTCCAGAGGTAATACACTAATTTTGTAACCTAAACTAATGATGCATCTTAATCCCAATTTTCAGTTGGAATTCCCATTCAAATAAGCTTCTTCAACAAGTACATCACGTTTCTCAAATCCTACAGTACATCAAGTTGACAGAAGTTCATGTTGTCTTTGTACAGTTTTTGATATTAGCCCAAATGAAGATTGTCATAAATACTTAGAAATAAGAATTATAAACGTATAAATAAGGTACTATCAAAAGTAGAACGGGTCATCTAAGTTGGTTTTGATCAGTTGAAAACACAGTCATGTGAAGTTAGGTCAGCAATGATTCACTGGGTTTGTCAAGTAGATGCAGTTATATTAGTGTTATGTTATTAATCGTGACTTACCGTGGAAAAAAAAAGAGAGAGAAAATGTGTTATATAAGCTTTGTAAGCAAAAACATTTACATGCTTGTTGTGATCAAACTGTTCTTGCGCTCTCACAGCCTAGTAGTGCCACGCTGCAAGCATATCGTGAGGTTATTTTGAAATTAATAAAGCTTTGTAAGCAAAAACATTTACATGCTTGTTGTGATCAAACTGTTCTTGTGCTCTCACAGCCTAGTAGTGCCACGCTGCAAGCATATCGTGAGGTTATTTTGAAATTAATAAAGCATTATAGAGTTTATGCGACTTCTGGAAATCCTTCATTATCCCGAACTTTTAGCGTAGTTAATTCGGTGTTAATTTAGCAATTCCTGCCTGGAAACTTTCACACAGCTTTTGGTTTATATTTGTTTTAGTACTAAATAATAGAAATTCCTTGTTTATAAATGGCATTATGAAAAACAACAACAGGAATCGAAAACAACTATAAATATATTAGTTTGAATTTACCCCCCTATAAAAAAATGTTTCTAAACAACTATTGTATAATGATATATTTTATTTGAGAAGACAGCTCAAACACTGTGTGTATTATAAACAAATTTTCACGATACATTAAGATGATGACCTTCACATCCTTGAGCTTTTGTTTAATAGTCAATAACGAGAAATAAAAATATTAATTATATAAAACGTAAAGACATAATAAATCTTTGTTGTAATATTGGTACATTTTTACGTCTTTCAAATCTCATATTTAAATATCCTAAATTTAATATAATCTAAATTATTGATATTAAGCTAGATTTTAAGACAAGGACTGTCACATAACAAGCTTTGAAGTGAATAATCAGAAGAAGAAGTTCAACGGATGCAGCTTCTTTCTAAAAGTAACGACTGTTGTTCTTTTTTAATCAATGCAATTTTTTCAGGGAAACAAGAGGGCGCTAACTTTTCTTAGATATCCCTCCTTTTTTTTTCTACAAAAGAAAAGAAAATTACGCATTACACTCTGAGCCCTGCACCAAGCTCGAATTGGTTGAGGGGGAGAGAAAAATCGTTAAAATAACTTTGTCACGGGTTGATATAATGGATTAGTCTGCGTGAAGTAGAAATGGTTCGAAGCTCAGCCTACGGGTCCCAATCGCACGCTGAG